TCCGCCTGCCTCTGCCTCCCGAGTGCTGGCATTAAAGGCGTGCGCCACCACCGCCCGGCTAAACATTTTTATCTTAATAGGATGTCCAGGCTTTTTTTTTTTCATATTCTGCATCTATTGAAGTAATCAAATTATTCTTCTCCTGTAATCTTTAACATTTTTTTTAGTTTTTATTTATTTTGTGTGCATGTATGTGCATGAGTGCATGTGTATGCATGTGTGTGCTTGTGTATGCATGTGTGTGCTTGTGAATGCATGTGTATGCATACACACAGAGGTGCAGCATGTGGGGGTCAGAGGACAACTTGTCAAAGTCTGTTTTCTCCTTCCACCTTATGGATCCCTGGGCGAATCAGGTTGTCCACTTTGGTGGCAAGTGCCTCTGCATGCTGAGCCATTTTGCTGGCCCCCTCCTAGAATCTCTGTTTTAAAAGATGCATTCGTTTTGATTTTCTGTGTATAGGTGTTGGGCCTGCATATGTGTTTGTGTACCACATGTGCACCTGAAGCCTGTAGAGGCCAGAAGATGGCATTGGATATCCTGGAACTGGGATTACAATTGACTGTGAGCCACAGTGCGTGTGCCAGGACTCAAACCCCGGTCCTCTGCAAGAGCAGTCAGTGATCTTGACCGCTGAGCCATCTCCAGCCCCTCCTAAAATCTTACTAAGTTATACTTGTCTTCACACTGATGAATCAGACTTGTAAAGCGAGTGACTGTCCTGTGGTGGTCACAGCTGCCTGCACTAAGATGGGGGGGCCAGAGCAAAGGTAGAGAGGGCATTCCAAGAGCACGGCAAGCACCTTACTGACCACCGTCTTCCCGATCCAGGACCCACACTTTAAAGCACCAGTTTGCTCATACACACACACACACACACACACACACACACACACACACGCACGCACGCACGCACGCGCACGCACGCACGCACGCACGCACGCACGTGCGCATGCACACACCCCCATCGCTGTACCATCCATCAAGTCTGTGGGTTTAATGGCGTTGTTTGGGCGTGGCAGGGAGGCTGGGTACTCACGGGAGGACTGCACTGCCTCAGTCTGAGGAGCTGTCCTCTGGCCACGCTCATGCCTTGATAGAACACCTTCAGAGCTCTGGCCAGCTGTGCATCACGGCTGGCTTGCTGAGCACACATTTGTGTAGCCTCTCTGGCTGCAGGCAGCTGTGCCCTCACCCCAGCTCTCTTTGGGTCATCTGGCCTCTGGGCTAGGGCACACACAAAAAAAGTATTTTTCAAATGTATCCAAGCATTTCTGTGTCTATTTATTTGGTTTTTTTTTTTTTTTTTTTTTTTTTGTTTTTTTGAGACAGGGTTTTTCTGTGTAGCTTTGCGCCTTTCCTGGAACTCACTTGGTAGACCAGGCTGGCCTCGAACTCACGGAGATCCGCCTGCCTCTGCCTCCCGAGTGCTGGGACTAAAGGCGTGCGCCACCACCGCCCGGCTATTTATTTGGTTTTTCAAGACATGGTTTCTCTGTGTAGTTCTAGCTGTCCTGAAACTCACTCAAACTTAGAGATCCACTTATCTCACCTCTGCCTCCTGAGTGCTAGGATTAAAGGCATGTGCCACCAGGCCCGGCTTTGGTGACATTTTATATCTTCATATCAGCATATTTCTTTGGACCCACTTAAAGAAATCTTATAGGGCAAAAGGAAAAAAAAAGAGTTCTGGTTTTTTGTTTATGGTGTAAGATATAAATTAACTCATTAAGATTTCCTATTCTTCTGGAGCTGGAGGCATTGCCCAGCAGTTAAGAGCACTGGCTACTCTTCCAGAGGACCCAGGTTCAATTCCAAGTACCCACATGGCAGCTCACAACTGTCTCTAGCTCCAGTTCCAGGAGACCTATCTGATGCCTCTGCTGGCCTCTGGACACACACTCAGGCACACATACACACACATAAAAATAAATAAATGCTGTTTTTTTTTTTTTTTTTTATTAATTCCTATTCTAGAAAAATAGCACATCCCAAACATGGGAGTTGGGAATGAGATGTCCACTCACCACAGTGGTATCGTCTCTCACCCTGCTGAGCAGAACCAGTTTTTTCCAGTGATGCCTTGAGAGACACGTTTTCTTCTCTGAGGGCTCTGTTAACATCTCTGAGCAGCTCCGTCTCCTGCTCTAACTTGAGCAGTGTCTGATAAATTTCTGGCACCTGGTTTGACACGATCTACAGAAGATAAGTCAGCTCAGCTTTTGTGGAATTACTTGCATAGCATTCCAGGCTAGTGGTTCATACTACATCATGTAAACAAGGATGGAATGGGGAGGCAGGGAGAGGTTTAAATCCCTCAGGACACACAGAAAGGCACAAAGACCACTTTCGTTGAAGGCATGACTCTTAAGGGGCTGTCACCAAGATTGTTCCGCCCCCTTGTGATCTGTCACATGTACACACCTGGTTCACATTCTTCACACTGGACAATTTCTTGGTATCTACCATGACGTGGCCTTCACCTGGGAGCAGGATGTCCAGTTGAGAGACCCCTAACTCGGCACAGCCTTCTGCCGGGTGGGAAAGACCAGAAATGAAAGGGTTCTCAGCTAGAGACCCCACTGAGCTGAGGTGAACCCGGGGCCTGGCAGAAGATGCTCACCCACTGCTCCACAGCCCCACGGGCCTCCCTCTGCGCCCTCTGCAGCATTAGACCTGGTTGGACAGCACACCGCAGGGAAGGAGGAGCAAACGAAGTACCTTGGAGGCCCCACAAATCAACGATAAGCGCATTCGTCAGTAAGTAGTCCAGAAACTCTCGAGATGCGCTCAAGGCCACGATGTGGACAGTCTCTTCAATTCGGGGATTCACACTCTTTGTCCACACAGGCTTGGTATACAGAGTGTTTGGGAGGTCATAAATTTTGTACCTGAGGCAAGGATATAAAACATAATTGACAACTAGAAGGAGCATATCTGAGGAAAATAACCAGATGAGCCACAGAACTACGGTGCAGTTAGATGAGAAGCTGCCCTGTAATTGAGTCCTGTGGCTTCTGCCTCCAACGCTGTTGCTCAGCATGAACATCATTACCACAGAGCTGGGAAGTCAACAGGGAAGAAGGGTTTGAATCAATGGTTAGATTCTCTTTGGGTGCTGTAAAGTGTGAAGTTGCCTTGGGAGGTGTTAGGTTTTTACTTTTTCTTTGGTTTTTGAGATAGGGTTTCTCTGTGTAATAGCCCTGGCTGTCCTGGAACTCACTCTGTAGACCAGGCTGGCTTCAAACTCACAGAGGTCCACCTGCCTCTGCCTCCTGAGTGCTGGGATTAAAGGCGTGTGCCACCACCGCCCGGCTTCATTTTCCACTTCTTTTTTTTTTT